GGGGGTCAGTATCTCCCTGCTCAATTGTTCCCATAAAGGGAGGCTTTTCAACCTGAGTATTATTGGCATTTGGGGCTGGATAATTCTTTCTGGAGTGCTGTCCTGGATATGGTAGAATGCTTCGCAGCATCCCTGGTTAACTAGGTGCCCATAGTGCCCCTTCCTCCATTTGTGACAACTAAAAATGTCTCCAGGCGTCTCCAAATGTCCCTGGGATGGGAGGGGGGGGCAGAACTGTCCCCAGTTGACTGCCATGAAGATAGTCTTCTCTTTGTTCAACTACGGGGCAATTTTGCCCATTCTTCAAAGTGATGCCTCCAATGTTCATAAAGAAGGCTTTCTCAACTTGGTCAAGAATAAAGCTGGGTTATAATGTCTATCCAACTGAGACACAAGAAGAGAGAGATGAATACCAAGAGAGACAATCATTAGGCAGGTATCAGATTCGGGGATAGAGGCGTCTCCAGCCAGGGTCTATCTAGCCCCTTCGGTTGCTCTAACCAAGTGTGCTGATGCATCACCGTTGGGAGGCGGCCACCATCCATGGTTGGCTGCACTTGGTGGGCTACAGTCACACAGCCCTGCCTGGGAATCCCAGCCTGTACCCACTAGACATATAATCTTGCCCAGCTCTTCAGAGATTCATGTTCCCCTCTGGAAAAGGGACTGAGAATACCTACTTTTCTGAGTTGATATGACCATTACAGACATTGCATGTAAAACACCTAAAACATCATATGGATTCAGAAACATTAATAATTATTCTTATAGTAATACTGGAAGTCACTTAAAACTAGGATGCTGTCTTCTGGAAGGCTTCATTCCTTCCATTTTGTTCCTAACTTTTCTTTTGTTCCAACCAATAGCCCAGCAGCTCCTCTGCTTCATTGTGCCCCAAAACGTGATGTCAGCATAAAGTGATCCTCTCCTCACTCTTAAGTCATAATAACCGCCCTGGTTGCCACACCTCAGGTATTGTCACTAAATGGGCACACCGTGCCGATGACTCAAAAACCTCGGTACAGCAGGGTCAAATTGGCTGGTCCAAGTGGTACAGCACTCTCATGCTCAATGACAGGAAAAAAGACTAGAAAATTAAGGAACCCAGGTAACCACTACCAGGAAAACAATTGGAGGTACTGAAAAGAGCTTTATTATTAATATTGAGAACAGACCCACTACCAGGAAGTTCTCTTTACTATCCCTTCTCTAATGGGAGATGAGGAAGGAGGAAGGAGAAATGGGGTAGGGATGGAGGGGAGGGGGAGTCGGGAGTGAAGGACAGATAAGAAGAGACAGGTGTTCTGCCCACAACTGAAGTTTCTTTTTCAAGCCCCACTCAGTTTCGAGTGTAAATTCTTCATCCTGACTCAAATGATATTTTGTGGGTCATACTTTCTGGGGATTTATGGATATAAGAAGACATTCCTTTTTTAAATGCTTGTGAGTTGATGGAAAAAAAGATTCCGTTGAACCTAAAATGATCAACATAAAAATAATACTGGAATGGAAGTAGAAGCACATCTACCTACTATCTAAGAGGGAGAGATGGGTAAAGGGGTCAAAATTTCCAGGCATAAAATAAGTAATTCATGGGAATGTAATATACAGCAGGGTGATTATAGTTAACAATTACTGTATTGTGCATTTGAAAGTTGCTAAGAGAATAAGTCTCAAAAGCTCTCATACAAGAAAAAAAAAATTGTAACAATGTAAGGTGACAGATGTTAACTTGACTTACTGCGGTGATCATTTCACAATATATGCAGATAGCAAATCACTCTATTGCACACCTAAAACTAATACGTTATATGTCAATTACATCACAATTAAAAATAATGATAAACTGAAATAAAGGTAAATGAGTATTTAAAATGTAACAATCTGGAAGATCACCTCATTTGAAGGTCTAAGAATTTTACAAAGCAAATAGTCAACCATAGCCAAAAAAGTAACTCTAAAAAAAATACACACGCACACACACATACACTCGCATCTGCATATAACTATAAACATATATGGGGGAGGGGTGACATCATTTTAGTCCATTCTTCTCACATGGGATACTCAAGCCCTAGGGAGTATTCTGAAACATAAGAAAGCACAATCCGTCTTCTTATTCATCCCTGTTACTTGAAGGTAGAAAATTTAAAATGTTATTTCTGTACCAACATAAGTGCAGATATATTTATCTAATACAGATATTACCATATTATAGGGTAGAATATATTATAGAGTAGAATGCAGTGGAGCCTACATCTTAAAATAAAGCATGATGCTGTCAATAAATTTTGTGCATAAGACAGGGGTTGTCTGCAGCGGCACATTTAACAAACACCATCTTGATTGATTCTTATAATGTAACAGGTAGACTTGCCGAAGGCCACCCATTGGTATAAAGATTGTGATTGCCTAGCAGGTCCCGGGTTCTCCAGCACAACATGGTACTTGTAAATGTGGGTTGCAGGACAGATTAATGAACTTTCACATTTAAAGACTGATTAAGAGGGTGCTAGACATAGCACAATTCTCAATGCTGAGCAATTTTCTCTAAGAGCCCCCATTCATTTTCCTTAGGCACTGCCTATGTGTTCTAATAAGCCTGTTTGCACTCAAAGCAGAAACAAGGTACGGAGCTTACCTGTCCAATTTCATTTGCTGTGTCCCCCTTGGCGCCTACTTGAGCAAGGGACAGAGAGGTGGAGAGACAGATTGGAGAGAAGAGGACATTGCCTGCTGGCTCATTTTCACACAGTTGTTTGAACAGGTCAACTGCAAAGGCTGAATTTGCCAGTCGTAGAGCATCCATTGTGGGTCTGGAGCAAAGTACAAGGATGAGGTTATTTCAGTTGACAGTTGACAACACTGATCAAAATCAGTTGGTTTCGTTTACCAATTTTGTTTCAATTAGGACTTAGGCTAAACCATACAAAATTAACATTTTTGCAGATGAAAAACAGTCAAATCACAGCAGTTCTGTGTGGTTCAATTTAATATTTAGTAAGTGTAAAGTGTTGAATCATGTCCCCCAAAAAGACATGTTGAAGTCCCACTCCTGGATACCTGTGAATGGGATCTCATTTGGAAATAAGATCTTTTGCAGATTTAATCAAGTTAGGGTTAAGAGGGTGACTGAGGTCCTTGTAAGAACAGGAGAAAAGACACAGAGACAGACATGAGCAAAGGGAAGATGATGTGAGGACACACAGGGAGAAGGCCACAGATAGCAGAGGAGGAGATCAAAGTGATGCTTCTAGGAACCCCAAGAATCACGGGCAATACCAGAAGCTAAGAGAAAAGCATGGGACAGATTCTCCCCTACAGCTCCCAGGGAGAGCAGGGCGCTGCCAACACCTTGATTCCGGGCTTCTGGTCTCCAGAATTGTGGGAGAATACATTTCTATTGTTTCAAGCCACGCAATCTGTGGTACTTCGTTACAGCGGTCCTAGGAATCTAATACAGCCAGTAATGCCCTAGGAGGGCACCTAGCACATAGCAATACTGAATAAACACAGCTGTGATTGTTTTTGGTGTGAGTACATACCTATAATGTGGAAGACACACCATACAAAGTATTAGAAGTATCAACTGAGTCCCTCCTTCTCTGAGTCTGCAATCCCTTTGGGGAGATACGGAGACAAATAAGTAGAATGCAGGGCTGCCTTTGCCAAGTGAGCCACGTGAGGAGTTAAAGAAAAGAGGGAAGGTGGGTTCAGCTAAAAATATGGAGCCTGGGGAAGTGAGTAGGCACCTAGTCTTGTCTGAGGACTCTTATTCTGATGCATATTCGCTAAGTGGTGTCCAGAGACCCCTGGCATCTTTTAGTGGGTCCATTTTCAGGGGCACCTGGCTGGCTCAGAGAGTCAGCAGAGCATGCGACTCTTGATCCCCGGGTCGTGAGTTCAAGCCCCTTGTTGGGCATAGATTAAATAAGTTTTTAAAAATTTCATAATAACTTTCAGACGTTGTTTGTCTTTTCATGTTCAATCTCTCACAAATATGCAGCAGTTTTCCAGAGGCTGTTTGATGTGTCTTCCCTTAAACCAAATTTTAAAGAGATTTGAAGACAATAAAAAACGTTACTCATCCTTCTGCAATTTTTTCCTTTAGAAAAGAGTTGTTTTTCATAAAGATATGTTATTCATGTTCATATGTCATGGTTATATTATTGTCATTTTTAATAAATTAGTAAATATTTCAAAATTTCTCCAGTTTTAATTTCTAATTGGGAAATACTGATAGACATATCTGACATAAAAAAAAAAGAAAGAAAGAAAGAAAAAGGAAAGAAAAACAGCTCTTTGGGATCCTCAGTAATTTTTAAGAGTGTAAAGGGGTCTTGAAATTTAAAAGTTTGAGAACTGTTGTTCTATTGAAAGGTCCACCTATCTGTCCAATCCAGTAGTTAATGATCAAGCTGGAGGGCACCTGGGTAACTCAAGCAGTCAGGGCATAACCCTTTCTAGAACAGAGCGGAGCTACATGGACTCTTCAGGCTCAGCCTGAGCCCAGGATAGAATGTGTCTGAGGGCCATAGAATGATATTACTACCCCTGGCTGACTAGGGCACAGGCCAAGGCTTGAAGCATTCCCCCAAAGCCGTCGGGCACTGTGTAGTCACACACACAGACACAAAGAGCGAACATGACATTGAAGGACCTCTGGTAGGACACGCTTCCTGGTGTCAAACAAAGTATCAGCACTCAGGACAGAGGGCTTCCTGCCAACAGGACCTAAAGAGCTGTTAGAGTCAATGCATGAATAGGATCTCAATTGTGTACCTTATACCTTAACAGAAATTCAAAATTCAAAGATGCAAAAATAAGACCAAGGAATGGGCCCCTGGTCTACAAATATGTTTTCAGAATTCTGCCTTTTATGGGACATGTGGCTTGTGTGTAGGATGGATTCAAAAAGACTATAATATATCTCGGAGTCTGTAAAAGGAAATTCATTACCAAAAAAAAAAAAAGTTTTGTTGACCCGTTCATGCTCGCTTGTCATCTCCAATGACTTCTTCCTCTTTCATTTTATGTCCCCGATAAGAACAGCTAAGTGAGCTTAGGTCTGTGTTCTCACTGAAAACCTACTACAAGGTAACCTTCAATCTTACATTTCTCTGGGGCCCATGACCTTCTCCTCTCTCCTCAGGGTTGGGGTCTGCGTGGATGACAGCCCATTCTCAGGCGAAGGAGCCCAGTATCAGGTGTGCGGAAGGCAATGAGATAGAAATGGAAGCATATGGGGTGTTTGGACCAGTAGGACCACTGCAGGATAATTTAAAAAAACTTCACAAAACGTTTGGGGAATCCATGTATACAGACTTTCAGGACAAGATGTCTGGCTTTCTCCAACAGTAAATTTAACATTGACAGTGCGGACTTCATCTACGGTTAAAATTCAGCATGAGTTATTTCTCCATCAAAGAGAGATGCCTACATGAGCTATTTCTTCACCAAAGAGAAAAGCCTAAACCCAGGTCACTGGGAACTTCTCAAAGCTTTTACAACTTGAGGCCTAATCACATTAATACTAATATGAAAACATACCAACTCTGCTTGAACAGACATCAGCAGTCCTTCCCAGCATGTATTTCCCACCGTCCCGAAGAGAAATTAGAATAATTTTGCATAATCGATAACAAACTTTACTAAAGTTTGATTTCCTTCTTGTGTGTAAGGCCTTGGAGTAATCCACTAAGGGAATTTTGACAGCAAACTCCAGGAAGCGGATCAAAGGGTAAAGAAATTCTCATTTTGTTCAAGTGAAGCACTCTTCTTTCATGCTTTATAGCATTTGAAGATAAACGTAGTCTAAATGGTTCTATGTGAGTACAAGATCGTGGTGGTTTTTAGTACAGTTGATTACACAATATAATTAACACTGTGTTGCAATTCAAGTCTCAGAGTCAGGCCTCTGTTGGAAAATACAAATCAGTACATGTCTATCAGCTGAGGCTTCCCTGACAAGAGCAGACCCTCCCTTTCAAGAGTCTGTTCCTTTGCATGAAGAGTCCTCAGTGCATGAGGTGTGCCTTCTTATCTGTGTGCTGACAAGCTCCTTTCCCAGAAAAGGTCTCCTTCGAGTTGGGGAAGGTCATGCAGCCCCTTCATATCTGAGGTCCCAGAGACAATAACATTATTTGATGCTTGACAAAGGAAGCAGAAAATGACAGCACGTGGAAATTGCTGTAGGGGCAGTCACCAAGCAAGTAATCAATCAGACATTGCATGGTAAATCTGATCCCTTGCTTGGTGATTATTACCAACTGACCTAAAAATACTTTTTTTTTTTTTTTAAAGATTTTTTTTATTTATTTA